AGCTAATTTTTTGTATTTTTAGTAGAGACGGGGTTTCACCATGTTGACCAGGATGGTCTCGATCTCTTGACCTCGTGATCCACCCGCCTCAGCCTCCCAAAGTGCTGGGCACTGTAAGTTTTAATGAAAGCTATTCAGGAAGCATCAGAGGGCTTTCAAGCTCTGCCTTTACTCACATTTCCAGACTTACCTCCTTCATGCTGCCTGGCCCTTTCTGTCCCACTAACTGCTTAGAAATGGCAGGTTCCCTGGAATTCCGTAGAGATGCTGTTTTGCTAATTTCTTCAAGGCTTTGCAGAAACTGTGCCCTTTGCTGGAATTGCTAGTCAAGGTACCCTCACTCCACCCTTCCCTCGCTCCCTCCTTTGTTTTATTTTCACTTTTTTGCTTGTCCAGTTATTTCTCCTGCCAGGCTCCCACGGAAGCAGGCATCTATCCCTTTTTTTAGCACGTTCCACATTGTGAGCTTGGCACATAGTTGACTTGCCATAGGTATTTATATAATGAGTAAATGTAATTATAATTATGCCCCTTAGAAAGTGTGGGTGCTTCCATCCCCTTTCCTTCTGGGCATCTCAGATGGCCCTTTTTGCAGATAGACTTGTGATCCTTAACACAAGAATAGAAGACAATCTTGTGAGTGTGTCTGAACAAAGCCGACATTTTTTTTCTCCTTTAAGATCTTGCCACTGAATGTAGAATGATCCTGAAATTAAGGTCAGCTCCAGGTGATTGTTTATATCAGCTGTCAGATTGCAGAATAAAAAATGGCTTTTATATGTTTGACTTTTATTGTTTTCCAGGGCAATGTCACTTTTTCCTGCTCCGAACCACAGATTGTGCCCATCACATTTGTCAGCTCCAGTGGCAGCTATTTGCTACTGCCCGGCACCCCCCAAATTGATGGGCTCTCAGTGAGTTTCCAGTTTCGAACGTGGAACAAGGATGGTCTGCTTCTGTCCACAGAGCTGTCTGAGGGCTCGGGGACCCTGCTGCTGAGCCTGGAGGGTGGAATCCTGAGACTCATGATTCAGAAAATGATGGAACGTGTAGCTGAAATCCTCACAGGTACTGTCTGCTGCCACTCTGGATCGGTTTCTTGTTTAACCAAGTCAACAAAGTTTGAGGTCTTCACAGAAACATACAGAATTTAAATTTCAAGGATGTGGGTTAGACCAGTATTCACAAATTTACTCCAAGTCTAAAGGGGCAGATTTTTTTTTTTTTTAGTAGTAAACCAAACAAAACAATGAATTTAGAATTAGCTATGTCAACTTTGATCAATGCCTAAATTTGTCTCTTAGCAGTCTCAATATAAAGATGGAATAAGAATCCTTACCTGGGAACATTTAGCATAATCTAGGCAATTTATAGAGCTCTCTGCTAGGTTCTCTACAAACATGGAATATATCATATGTAACCCTCACCAGGCTCACTGAAGGAAGTTACTATTTTTTACCTAATAGATGAGGAATTCAGAAATCATGGCAATCACTTCAAAATCCCATGTTCCTAAGTGATGGAGCTGGGATTTTATCCTGAATTTATCTGACTTCCAAGTCTATATTCTCCTCTTGAACCATATTACCATGGGATTTTTTATAGCCCCCAAATTCTATTTCAAGTAAAAATTAGTAAATTATAAGAATTATATAAAAATATATGTATGTATACACATATACTTTAAATGTATTTAGTAAATGCTAGTACATATGGCACCAGGGAATGGCAAAACTTTTAACTGGTCCTCAACTGGCCAAAGTTTGTGAAGCCCTTTTTCATTGCCATGTACCACAAATCTTACTGTCTAGCAATACGTAAAGGTCTATGAAAACAAGTCATGTTTTCCAACACCCTAGTTCCTCCAGCTGCTGCTGCTTCAACATGGAGCAGTGAAAACCTCTCTCTCCTTTTCTGTCTGTTATATTACCAAAATGTGGCGCACTTCAAGCAGCGGTGTATTTACTAAGTTGACAAATACTCATTGAGGTCAAATCTCACATGCCAAGGATTGAGCAGGCATTGGGGTGCAGTATGGTGATACAAGAAGTTATTTCAGAAGTCTACAGAAATAAACAATCTGAATAAAAATCTCCCTCTGCTTTTCACCATAGGTCAACATCCATGATGGATTATACTATAATTTGATTTAGATGTTTTTGTCTCAACTGGACTGTGTGGGTTTTTACCCAGTAGATTAGCAAAAATTGAGTTACACTGTAAAGGATATGACTTAATAGTTGTTGATCTAAAAGGAAGAAGCTAAGGCAATATTCATATAATAGATAGTTCACTTGGGCCAAGCTTGAGGATCGCAAGCTGAGAATATAGATTCAAGTTGCTCTGAATGTATACTCTGCTCTAATTACTTGCAGTTAGAAGCAGATTTTTAAAGAAAAGAAAAAGCAGCAGTTTCTATGTTGTTTATCAGAAATTTACATTAAAATCATAACAGCTAAAAATTGCCTAGGCGCTGTTCTTTGTATCACAGATTCCAGGAGAAAGAAGGTAATGACTGAGGCAGCTAGTTAGGATAAAAATGACCGAGCAATTGCCCAGAGTATGGATGCCACGAGCTCAGGGGAAGGTTGTGAATAACGTTCATACTGACATCTCTCTGGGCTTGATATATTTTGCATAACTCACATAGCTCATACTGCTTGAAGCTGTTTTTCTTTTCTCATAGGTTTGGTCTTGTCAAATCCTGGGGGACATTCAAATGTCCATAAGTGAACAAAATGGCCCACTGAACCCCTGAGCATAGCAGAAGGGCCTGGGTCTGGAATTCAGACAATCAAGTTTAATACCCTTTTTCCTTCCTTTCCTGCGGCCCTGGATAAACATTGTCTCATATGTAAACTGAAGTGTATTAGTTACCTGTAGCTGCATATCAAGTGACAGCAATATTTAATGGTTGAAAACATTATTTATTACGTCCCAGTTTCTGTGGATCAGAAATCCAGGGGCCAGTTGGCTCGTGACTGGCTTGGAGTCACCCATGGGCTATCAATCAAATTTCCAATGGGGGCTGCATGCATGGCAAGGTTAAATGGAGGAAGATCTTCCAGACTTACTCGTGTGGCTGTAGGTAGGCCTCAGAAAATCCACTTCCACATGTAGGAAAGTTCTAACTTTTCCCCTCAAGTTATTTATAATAACTTCAGTCTATAAAACAAATTAATAATAGACAAATTAATAGGAAAAATGCATACACATGTCACAAGAGTCACAAAGTCATACAAAATATAAAAGCCCAAAGAAATGACAGTTGACTGTTGCTTTTATGCCATCTTGATATTACAGAAAGAACAGGGGTTTGGAGCATGGCTAAAAACATGTTGTGGGCCAGGCACGGTGGCTCATGCCTGTAATCCTACCACTTTGAGAGGACAAGATGGGGAGATTTCTTGAGCCTAGAAATTCAAAATCAGCCTGAGTAACACGGAAGACGCCATCTCAACAAAAAACTGAAAATCATCTGGGCACGTGGATGCATGCCTATAGTACCAGCTACTCGGCAGGCTGCGGTAGGAGGATGAGCTGAGCCCAGGGAGGTCGAGGCTGCAGTGGGGCGTGATCACAACACTGCATCCCCACTTAGATGACAAAATGAGATTCCCATCTCAACAAAACAAAACAACAACAACAAAGAACACAGGCATGGTAGTAAATCAGGTTATGTGGTAAGACAGGTAATTGAGGGGAGAGAAGAGGAATTTCTGTTTGCCAAGGTGGACTTAAGATGTAGATAAAGTCATACAGGTAGCAGCCCTTAAAGAGAATAAATGGTAAATGTGTTTTTCAGATTCTTAAACGTGTCAGACTCTTAGTCATAGATGCGAACAAGGGAGAGCCTCACAGAAAGCCTTGATGTATCGATGCAGGTTTTCTCTACAGATACAAGTCCCCACAAGAGACAGCTTTTCAGGGCTACTGCTTTCTGAACAGCCCTCCCAAAATATGTCAAATAAGTATATTTTGGGGTGAAATATTTTTGTTTCCTCCATAAGCTTTTCCTCATGAGCCTCTCCAGAAGGCCACCAAGGGAGAGTGAGAAAAAACACCCATTATATTTATAATCTAATATTGAAAATGGCATCTCATCACTTCTGCCATATTCTGTTCCTTAGAAGCATGTAAACATGTCCAGCTCGTGTTCAAATGGAGGGGATAACACCAGGGCATGAGTATCAGCAGGCACAGATTATTCAGGGTCATTTTAGAGACTGCCTATCACAGGAGATGAAAAAAAAATCACTTTATAAGTTGGTGCAGGCAATTAAATGAGGTAGTATATCTCAAATACTGCACAAAGTGTTGAGTAGCTATTTAACACATTTTTCTTTCTTCCATGCTAACTCAAGACATATAGCTGGAAGGGGCCTCATTCTACAAAGTCATAAAAGTTAAGAATGAATTCATGCAGTCAGAGGACTTTTATAAAATTTATTAGATTTCCAGTAATGGAGGTGAGTTAATCACTTAGAATTATAGTATTTTTCATGTTCAGAATTATAAAAGTCAAACCTCAATCCTCCTTATTTGGAAAAGAAAAATGTGAGCTGGAACTGAGCTGTTTCTCTCTGATCAGTGAGTTGTTTTTGAGTACAGAGACTTGTAGGCCTCAGATCAAAAATGTAGTTCTAATGCAAGGAAGGCCCTGGTAGCACGTTGCTCTTAAAAATCCAGGTGCTGCCTGTATTATTAAGCACCTATCAGTCCATTAAAATGCATTTATGACCGAAAGAGAGTCTGGTAGGAGCTGCCACTTTACTCAGCTCAGAAAGGGAACAAATCATCAGTTATTTCAGACTCACCTCTCAGAAAATGAAACTAGCAAAAAGAAGTTTTTAAAATGTGTAACCAGAGTTCTCAAAAACTCTTGTGTAATTCTATCCTAAGGAGAATTTCTACGTTTTGGAAAATGTGAACTTTTTGCGGGGGGAGGGAATGGATCAAGGTTTTGTGTATTCTGGTATTTTCCTATCTGGGAGGAGGAAGAACAAACAAATAATCAAACAAAAACAATTTTCTATTCCCTTACATTTCTGAGGAAACTTGTTTTTAAAGTACTTGAACTTATTTTGACTTTATAAGAGATTAGCATCTCATATGAACAGTGAAAAAATAATGACAATGGTTCCTATAGTTTTTAAAGGCCAACGGGGCTATCCTTGACACTTGGTGTGTCACAAATGGGTCAGAGACAGAAAATACAAGGTTTATTTGAGACTAGTTATAACATCCTGGATCTAAAAGAGAAGGTAATTCCTTTGGAAAGGACAGCACAATGATGCCTTGTGCCTTCAGCCCTGTTCCCAGAGCTTTGTGCACTGTCCATGGCTTTTTAGGAAGGAAGTAGTTTTTATTTAGGGCTCTTTGCATTGAAGATCAAGGAGAGATGTGCAAACTAAATTCATCCTCAAAATAGAAGACATCTGAATTTAGTTATTCTAGGGATGAAGTTTCAGGAAGACGAAGGACAACAGTGGTATCCCTGTCTTGTATATTTCTTTATTATCTATTTTTGTCATCTCCTTTTTTTGGCAAGCCTTATGTATGTGGGTATGAGATAAGGTAGAAGACCTCATTTCACTGTAAGTGATGTGGAAGTCGAACTAGCAGCCATCGCTGACCTTTTGCCAGTTAGGCATTGTGCTAGAGCCTTGTCATACAAAACTGTAGAAAAACTCACAAAACCTTATACAGTGGTTAGTACACCAACACTCATAGAAAGAAATTGAGATTCCAAATTTACATTAAAATAGCCAAAGTGATGTTCAATCTCAGCTTTTTCCTTAGAATTTCCAAGTTCATGGTCTCTACACAGTGTCTTGCTGCTCTCATATCCATTGTTAAGACTGTCTGTTACTTAAATAACTCAAATGTAAAGAAACTGTTTTATATCTATAGACAAATCTGCAAAATCCTTTTAAGGAAAGTGGCTATTTAGGTCTAAAGCTGCATCTTTCAAAAACCATTTACTTGGTAGCCTTATTCTTGTGTTACTTGGAATTCACACTAGATTGGAAGTCTCTTGTTTTTATAAACTTCTGTGTACTTTGCTA